GTTAACAGGAAGTAAAAAATCAAACCATTTCCTTGTATCACCTGGGTAGGAGTCAGTGAGATACTTGTATAGAATTAAAACAAAACATCAGGGGAGAAAACTGTGATTCCCTAATGGAACTACCAAAAATATACAACTAATTTAGGCAGAGCTGAGCTTGAGTTCACATCTCCCAAGGCCAGTATTTGCTTCTTCTGTATTATGTCAGTGGGTAACATCTGGTAGCAGTTTAGGATTGGAGGAACATAGATATCATCTAGGGTGAACACTAGCTGATGCTGGAAATACCCTGCTGAATGGCCAGTCTTTGTATAAACAACTCCAATAATTCAACATAGTAACTATAACCATGCCTGAATATCAATAAACACTTTCTTATCTGGAACTCCTAGCTAACTCGCTATTCTGTCCATTCATGGGATGGACAGAATACACAAGTGTATACAGACTGTCTATGTACACACACACACACACACACACACACACACACACACACCCCCCACATACTCCATGAGTGTCTCTTTCCTATGATAATTTTTCAAAGAATTATTCCCAAGTGAATATCTTCCTAATTACCCATTGCTACTTTTATGCTTCCTTCAGCCAAAGTATTCTCATGTCACTTCTTTGCTACAGTTTGGACTCTCAATATTCCCAAAGGCACATATGATGAAAAATTGGTTCTTACTCCATGTACTGGGAAGTGATGGGACCTTTAAGAGACATGTTCTGGTAAGAGTTCTTCAGCTCATTAGGTTTGTCCCTTGAAAGGCACAGTGGGACAACAGCTCTCTGCTCATTTTCTCTTTGACTCTCATTGCCATGACAGTAGAACAGTTTTTTTTTCCCCACCATTTGTTCCCATCCTACATCACTACTGAAGGTCTAAAGCTATATACTTCCTAGTCTTAGACTGGAAACTCCAAAACTATGGGCTAAAATGAAAATTTCTCTTTAGAAGTTGAGTATCTCAGGGCTTTGTTAATTTCTGGATAGCTGACTAAACTCTAACTGTTCTAAACTCTAACTAGAGTCTCCTTTAGCTCTTTCACAGGATGGCTTGACTCATTTCTACTGCAAATGATGTAACTGTGGCAGCTTCTGTCTTCCCTGCTATCTGGACGGGATCTCACCCTGTAGTGTGTTGGCCTTCCACGTAAAAAGTAATCTGGTGTCCCTCCTCATGCTTTTATCCTCACAGAAGAATCCAGAAAAACATCTATTAGGGCATAGATTCTGAAACACAGTAACCAACATTCCATATATCCTAGTAAACCTGCATCCATCTGGAGAAGGCAATTCTGTGTCAGATCCTGTACAGTACTCACTTGATGCTTGATCAAAGTGTAGCTTGAAATAGAAGGACAATGACTCACAGTTGCTTACCCTTATCAGCTGGAGTAGCTTGGAGAAGCAATGAGTTGTGCTTCAATTATTCCTTATCCAGAAATAACTAGCATTCAAGAGCCCATTATTCATGAAGGGACAGTTAAAGGAGTACAGATGAGTGAAGGAATTGCTTCTGTCTGATTCAGTTGCCTGGGTTCTATATATTTTTCCTTTTGTTTTCATTATGGATTCAATCTTTTTTAATTTTTTAACATTTTACTGAAAAGGTGATGTACAGAAGAAATACAGCTACATAAGTAAGGTAATGAGTACATTTCTTGTTGAACAGTGTTACCCCCTCTCATTTTCTCCCACTTTCTCTCAACATAGTATCTTTTGAATATTGCTGTTGCATTGGTTCACCCTTTGTCCTTTGTCCAACCATTTTGTTGTTTCTCTTCCCTTCCCCTAAACAGATAAACATATACACAAGACACCAGGTACCAAAATCAAAAATGACAACAAGGGTTAAAAAAAAAGAAAGGAAAAAAGAAAGAAAGAAAAAGCAAATCACTTCATACAGTACATTGAAAAAACACTCTTGTTTCCATATCTTGGAGTACATTTTGATTAGCATTTTATATGGTCATATATACATAGCTATTGAGCTATTGTGATCCTCTGCTAGGACTATCCTAGACATATACTAATTATTACAAATGAGGGAAGCCAAGCTAACCTGGTTGAGTAGGCAGAGTAGTTGCTAGATATACACAGGACAGCCTCAGGTGAGAGGGCAAAGTCATTTAGGCACTATTGTTGGGTTTAGTTTCAGGCAGCCAGGAAAGTTGGCAATGCTCACTCAGATTTGCACATGATGGCTTGGGGAGTGAATCAGGTTCCTTGTTTGTTTTCAGCATATTCATTTCTAAAATGATGGTATACTGGTATTCTCTCATGCACCACCCCCCCTCTCTTTCTCTCTCTCATAACCAGAAATTTACATCAGAGTGTTTTTGGGAGTTGGTTGTGGGGTCTGAACTCTGGGCCTGGGCGCTGTCCCTCAGCTCTTCAGCTCAAGGCTAGCGCTCTACCACTTGAGCCACAGAGCCACTTCCAGCTTTTTTCTGCTTATGTGGTGCTGAGGAATCGAACCCAGGGCCTCATGCATGCGAGGCAAGCGCTCTACCACCGAGCCACCTTTCCAGCCCAACATCAGGGCCTTTTATTGGCTCAGCTTTCTTGCTCACAGTTGGCATTCATTTGAACTGAATATCTCCAGCTTTACTTTTTTGCTAGTTATTTTGAAGGTGGAGTTTCACAGACTTGTTTTTACCACCCAGGATGGCTATGAACCTTAATCCTTCAGATTGCAGCCTCCTAAGTAAGCTACAATTATAGGCACAGCTTTTCTCTTTTCTCTTACGAGCCTTTCTCCTTTGCCTGGAACACTAGGATTATATCCATGTCATTGCTCCACCTACCAGGCTTTCCTAATGCAATGCCCTGCTTAATAACTGCTTGTTCTCTGAACCCACACTATCAGCTTTCAATCTTTAACTTAAGCCACACCCTAGTATCAATTGATTTCCTTCCCTCCAGAAGGTCCATTTTTTTCTCTGCTCCCTGCCAAAATCTGGGCTGATAACCTTGCTGACCAAAGCAGCTTCAGTGGGGATGAATGAGAGGATGTGTAAGTGTGGAAGGTGTGAAGGGCATGGGAAATGGGGATTACAGTCTTCCCTCAACCTAAGCTTGTTGGTACCACTTACCCTTATCCCACCTTATTCACTTCTTGCTGACCTGATTTCTGCAACACTTAGAGCTCAGTAGGCAACACGGACAGCTCAAAGCCACTGAGTAGAGGCTGCCCTTTATTTTTATTTTATTCTTGAACTGAACTTCATGTGTTTTAAATTATCTTTAAGTAGTTGTACAAAGTGTCAAATAACAAAGTACCATATGAATTCAATGCATCTTGATCAGTATCACCATTAGCAGCCTCACCTAGCTTTGGCCCATCCTTTCCTTTACTATTCTTACTTCATCAACCCCTTCTCCTTGCCCCCTCCATCTTGGATGTAATCATTTCCTGGGGTTGATTTTGTTGGGCTCTGACCTAGTTTAAATGCCCTTGTTTTTTTCCTTGGGAATACATATTTCCTTGGGAATAATAACTCATTACCTGTGACATCTATGTATCAGAGCTGTGGATATCTGAATTCACGTAAACAATCTGGCGCTTGCTTGTCTTGAGGATGGATTTTAATTCACAAAGCACTATGTTTTCCATGTGGTAATTTTCTTTACAGAAACAATAACTCTCCCATTTGCTAATCGATGTAATAAACAAAGACACAGCCTTTCCTCTTCCATCACTACCTCCAAAATTAAATTCAATATCAGTACCTGCTAAAGCAGACAGAACAAATGGGATACTTACTCATTCATGAAAAACTGGTAAAAACTTTCTAGTGACTCTTTCTTTGAGGTGTCTATTTTAAAAGATTTGATGGGGAATAGGTTACAAATTGACTCCCCAACCTTTAAGAGTGGAAGAGTTTCAACTGAGGGTTTGCACTTTAAATGCCAAATCATCTGGTGTGCTCTAAAACAGGCTGAGCTTGTCTCTTGATTTCATGTGTTTTATAACCTCTCTATGCCTGCATTTTACAGCTACCTTTATGAAAACAATATGCTTTAGTTAATCTAAGTAGAATAGTAAAGTAAAATATTGCTTGCTGTTCTCCAAGTAAAAGAAACCATTGTCTTAAGAAAAATGCAGGCAAAGACAAAAGCCAAGCATTGTTTTACACTCTCCAATTTCCAAAATACTACTTAAAAGTAATTATGCCCACAATTTATGCATGATTTCTTAGACAGCAAGATAAAGTGCACTGCTAAATTTTAAATGCATGGGAAGAGCGGACATCATGAAAAACTATCCCCATCTTCTTAGGATTATAATCCTATCTAGAAATACCTTCACCATAATATAAATCTTACCTAAAAATTCTTCTGTTTATTAAATAGTAATTTTAATTTCTGAATTTGATAGACCTCTGAAGAATTTTTTAGCTCAGCAATTAGAAGTCAAGTGATCTGTTAATTTTTAAACTTAATAGGCTTGAATCATAGTGTCCACTGCAAAGATGACAAGAATGCCATAAAAAATTCACTCATCTGCAAACTAAAATGTTTCTAAGACTGCAGTTTTCCTCTGTCTCTTCCCATCCCACAGAGTAAGAAGAGAATGATATTCTACATTATGTGGACTTTGGTAAGGATCTGACTATTATGCAGCATATACCATCCATTATCTATGCTGATCACAGGCTGAACTAGGACAGAACATAATAGATACAATATCTTACATAATATATAATAGATGTGATAGACAACATCTTGGAGGATGTAAACAGCTTTTCAGAACATGAAGCTGCTGAATTGCTAATGTGAAAGAGCCAGACTGCCAGAATGAGTATGTGCCAATTAATCGTCTTATGACAGCAAAAGGTGCACTGGGGCTCCAAACTCCCTTTAGGTTTTGAATGACATCCGCCATTAAAGACAGATGCTGGCAGCTGCTTCTGCAGAGGGAGCATATGATCTATGTGACAGGTGCTGTGTTTAGCTCTATGTCTCCCCAGGACCACTGTTCCCGCACATACCTGTGGTCTTCAGTGGTGTTTTCTCTCCTAGCAGCAGTTTTAACCTTTTGGCATGGATTTTGCCTTGGTAATGTGAGTCGGCCACCACCGCAGAGGTGAAGGACATATTACAGAGTGTGCAGCACTTATTCTTATCCACCATATCAGCATCACTTCCCTGTGTGAGTACCAGGAAAAACAGTGTCAGAGGGAAACACAAGTCCCAGGGTATATTTTTCCTATTCCACAAAGCTTCATATCATTTGCAATGTGATTTATTATGGAAACCCTTTTGGATTATCTTTAAGTAGTTGTATAAATAGGTTTCAATTTAACATGTCAGTCTGTGAATACAATGCATCTTGATCAATATCCCTTTCATTATTCTCCCGCATCTCTCCCAGCCCTCCCAACTCGCCCCCAATCTATCTAGTTCCATTTTCGCATAGGAACATTGAAAATTATGACTGCATTTTCCCACCCTTCTCTCATTCCTCTGTCTCCCTACCTCTTAGCCTTATACCCCACCCCAGACAACAGATGTTCCAGCTCCCAGGTATTCATTTTGTTGAAGGCAATTAAAAACAACAGAACCTTCCCCTGTATATAACATACTTTAACATGTATAAGGCCCTGTATATTTTTACATATATATTCATAATTTAGATCTAACTAATGAGAAAATTAGAGAAAAGCGTGTATCCTTTGTGACTTATTTCGTTTAACTGATTCCAACACATGCTTGTTTGGTGGCTACTAATACCATGCACTGGGATTACCAAAAACTGCAGATATGAATTTCTCAAAAATAATTTAAAATCGAGTCCACAATTAGGTGGCAATACATTGTATCCAGCATCCTGAGAAAGCAGTCTGTAAATGCAGCCATTATACTCATTAAAGTAAGTAAAATATCAGAGTTCACATGGCCTGAATTATTTAACAGGGATTATCATTTGGCATTCAGCTTTGCCTTTGCCCAATTTTAGCCTCACCAGGATACATGACTGTGATTTTGAGATTTTTTTTAAAGACTTAAGGACTTGAACATTTTTCATATTTAAGTATCTATCATAAAGCTATGATGATGACCATGCTGGCTGAATTTTCTGGGGATAGTTTGTGTGATTTTTTCTTTTCCTCAGAAAAGGTGATTCTCTAAATGCTGTATGAAATGCTTAAATCCAGCTCAATTTTTATTCCCTTATAAGAATTAATGAAAATGAATCATGATTTAGAAAAAAAGCAAATCTTTTGATGGACTACGTGATGTGGCCATTGTGCACACAGGTCATCAATTATCTTCACTTTCAGAGAGGAAGATTAATCTACTGCCTCCCCTCCTGCCTAGTTGGAAATTGAGGGTAAAGAGGGCTCTTAGATAAGGAGTCAATCTATTCCTTAATAGACCAGCAATAGCAAAGCACCACCCTGGAGAAGCAAATAGCCCCACAAAAGCCCCTTTTATTTCCCAGAAGGCCTAGCGACTGCAAGTTATAATTGGATGAGGGGAGGAAGGATGAAGATAGAATGAAGAGAACTGTGTAATTTTTGCATAATAATAAGATGTCCACTGCTGTAGACAGTGCTGCTTTGTAAATTATGTGGTAGTTAGAAAAGTAATTTCTCCTTTTTAAACCATAAGTATGTACTACCTCTGATAGTTAGCTTTTGGTCTTTAAAAGGAGAGCTTTGCAAGAGATTGTGTGTGTGTGTGTGTGTGTGTGTGTGTGTGTGTGTGTGTGTGTGTGTGTGAAAGTGTTTGTCATTTCCAGGACTCTAGCATATACTTTAGCGGTAGGAGGAAGAAAGACAGAAAGACAACAAACCAAAAATATAAAGTTGAGAGGGTAGATAGGTGGTCAATGAGAAGTAGAGCCTACGAAGAGATTCTTTCCTAGAAGTAGTTTTACAGAAACTGAAGCTGGGCCCATTGGGGACACTCTTGCTAAGGATGTGTGTATGTGTTTATGTGTGTGCCAGTACTGGAGCTTGAACTCAGAGCTTTGTCCTCCTTACTTTTTCATCTAAAAACTGGTACTCCACCACTTGAGCCAGAGCTTCTGGCTTTTTGGTAGTTAATTGGAGATAGGAGTTTCATGGATTTTCTAACCAGGCTGGCTTCTAATCAAGATCTTCAGAACTCAGCCTCCTAATTAGGTAGGATTATGTGTGTAAGGCAAAAGGGCCTGGTTTGCTGAGGATTTAAAGTACTTGGAGTTTTATGCTCACTTAAAAAAAGTATGAACACTTTCATATTTTGTGTGGTATGTGGCAGAGACAAAATATTTTGGCCACGCAGTAAAAAGGAGGGTTAATTCCCAGGTGTCCCTTCACCTACTTCACTAATCAGCCTAGGAGATGGCATAGAATCTTATGGAAGAGATGATAGGTGGAAATATGAAGAAAAGGAAAAACATGGAGTTATTGTAGATTGTTAATCCAGTAAGTGAGTAGCTCAGAAGGAATGAAAACCAAATCTGCTATTTTCTACTATAAGTTAGCAGATAACCATTAGTTCTACAGTTTTAAGGGAAGATTGTCAAGGTGATGGTTGCTTGAGATATCCTGTTTCCACCTACTTTTGAATGATACAGATCAAAGCATGTAATTTTTAAATTAACTATAATCAGAAGCCAGAATAGAATTCACCCTACTTCTTAGAATCTGTCTTACACACTGAAGCTCTCACGGTAGAATTTTATTTTGAAGATTTTTATTATTTTTAAGTAGTTGTATAAAGGAATTGTCATTCAACACAGCAGTTTACAAATACAGAGTGTCTTGATCAATGTCACCCCTTTCAACTTTCTCATCTACCTCTTCCAACTCACCCCTTCCATCACTCTTTTTAATTTTGTTGGTTATGTATTAATTTTTTTGCCATTTAACCAAACAGTTTATGTATATAATGCATACTGATCTGTGTCATCTCTTTAACATTTTTACCTCCCTCAGGGCTTTAATGGCACTACCGAAAACATATTCTGGACAATTTCCCATAGCAAAGAACTGTTCTGAAAGAAGGATCAATACACTTATGTCATTCACTGAGCACAATTTAAGACCTACTAAGTTAGATGCTATGCTAAGTGGATGTCACTCTATTTGTTGTTATTAAACAGGTGATACCAACAGAACTAAATATCAGTGTAACTTGAGTCTGAAGATTTTCATTCCCCCCAGACAATACTGAGGTCGAATCCAGTCTTGCTGCAGTGTATACTATGGCTCAGTTTAACTATCACTTCCTTGAGAAGAAACTGCTTCTGACCTCCATTGTCCTACAGAAGTAGGAACAGCCTTTGAGCCCCATGGGTGCTCTGTATAAAATATTTAGAGCAACATTAAACATTACATTTTTCTGTTTTTATAATTGTCTTCTTCGACAAAGTTCCTTTAACATAAAGGAGACCATTTCATTGACAATGAAGACCCGGTATCTAGCATAATGCAAGTAGACCTTTCAGTGTTACCATGTGGACTGGGGTGGGGTTATGAGTCAATATTTTCATGACAAACATCAAAAGAGGATATGAACCAGATAATGTGAGGACATGTATTTACAAGCCAAAAATTTTCAGACTGACAAAAAGATGATGAGGAAAAGAACCAAAGATATCACCAATTGATAAGCCAAATTTTGGGGCCCATTAGGGGAACATATTTCTAATATGTATATTAGTTTCATGACAGTTATTTCAGCTACCATCCTAGATTTATCTCAGCATGTCTATCCAGAAGGCCAAACTCCTAAGCATTCTTTTATAAACCTGTCCCCACCATCCTACTGCTTGGAAGTAGGACTACAGCAAAATTAGTAACCTTTTATTTTTCCTTTTCCCCAAAACACTGTTCTCATTATTTGTAAATTCACATTGCAAAGCCAGGAGATTGAATTTCTAGTATCAGCTATACAATCTCACTTCTCATCTATAAGAATCAAAAGATACAGAGGAGAACCAATTATTATACAATAAAATATCATTAAATAGAGTTTTCCGTCTTTGTAGATTAGGGAGCAAGCAAGTATAGACACCTGACAAGAGGAGATACATGCCATGAGTAGTTAGGCACCTTTGGAGCCAGTAGAAGTTTCTTCATGAGATATTTTACTAAAGAGCCTATGTAGTAGATTAGGTACAATTGTTATTACAACCAACTCTGTCTGTTCTAATGATCCTGATGGAGACATAAATAGCCACATTCCTGCAGAGTGCCAGGATTTAACTGTGCATTCTCCAGTACTGAAATCCCAAATTCACAGCTTCTCCTCAGAGTGTCCCACTACATTCACGGCAAGGTTGATATATAACCATGATAAAAATTCCAGAAATGTTGATTACTGACCTCAAGGAGTACATTTAAGTTTCTGGTTTAAAGAATTAAGAATTTCCCCAAGCTCAAGATTTTCATAAAGTGAGAGTTTTACACTGAAGGCAAAATTTTTGAATGAGATGCCCACATTGCTAAAAAGATTGAAGGAAGTTTGTAGAGCATCCTAAAGCTAATAGCTCAAAGCATTTTCCAAAGTTAAGACATTTAACATAAAATTCAACCAGCATAAAAAAAAAAAAACAATCAAAATAAAATCTTGATTCTAGCTGGGTAGAAATCAAGTACTGAAAGGCCTTTATCTTTTTGATATACTATTTTTAAATCAATTCATGTACTTTTTTCATTCACTTTAACTTTAGGTGCAAATAACTAGCCTGAGAAGCCATCACTTACAGATGACAAAATAAGGAGGATTGTTTTTCCTCTAACTGCTGAAATGTTTTCATTTATAAAAATAAACACTCTATAAGCATCTGAAATTATCTTTATTTTAATTATTTTTTTATTATATTTAACTAGTTACATAAATAAGATACAATTGGAAATTATCTTAAAAGCAAACAGGACACTAGGAAGGGATTATTTAAGACTATCTACCAAATCTCAAGAAGTGAGACCCTCCCAGTTCAGCATCCAATCAGGAAAGCTCCACACTGATTGGGTGTGGTTAAAAATGAAATGGGGCTCTCCTTCCACTGGCACCTGGTCAATGGATACAGAAAGGGAAAGCCACCTGCCACACCTCCTCTCTCATTAGCTTCCATACTTCAAAGCTCTGCTTTTGGCAATATCACAGGTAATTAACCTGTTTTTGCTAAAATTGCTTGACCCATGAATTAA